GGCTGTTGCCCAACCCCCATTTCATGTCTAAATTATGAACTTTCCTGTTGGGGGACGTACAGCCAGCACAGAGCCCCACCAACCTCTTTAAGATAAGTCATCTTTCACTATTATAAATGAGCAATCAGGGCTGCTTGCTCATTTATAACAGTAAAGGGGCTGTGTAAAGTATTATCCAATGCCCCGTATGAAGTAAAAGCAGTCACAGATAGATCACACAGAACCACAGCTCTGAATGGTCTTTAATCTTTTTTACTAATTGTTTTACCTGCTCAAAATTAAGACTACAGCTCACTCACTATCATACTAGATAGGCAAAGACCAAGTCTTTTGGGGTAAAATATAAAAAAAGTACATTTATTGATATTTAATATTCCCTATTACAGGTTATAGCTAATCATATATAGAATAAATCATAAAGAGTAAGCTTCAATACATCACCGGATATTGTAGCATCACTCGTCGCCTCGATTGGGGGACTTCCAGCAATCAGCAAGGAAGAAACCGGGAAAACACCGCAGGACACGTCTGTGGCACCAAGATTGAGTCCCGGTTTTCTCCCCACAAATCCCCCCTTGTTATAAGATAAAATTGTTATTTCACGTGTGTATATGCGCAGTGTATAAATTCCGGCACGTGAACACAGCGTGTATTCATGCTCAGTTGCCTGTTCTCACAGTGTGCCCTATCTCATGACAATGAGTCTTAATTCCAGATAAAACCAGTTTCATCCACTTCTGCACAAACAAGTCTGAACTGTAATAACTTGTTATACCTGTAACAGTGCAAAACCAAGACCTAGGTTCCTGCTGCTGTCAATCAAATCCTATGAAAAGAAAATGGGGGCAGGGAAAGCCCTGTTGTCTGTGTCAATGGACTGGGAGCAAGCCTACATGAGTATCTTCCTTAGCAAGTGGCCTGCTAATGGGGGTACTCATAAGGGGGGGGAGGAGCATTGGCAGGGGCTGCTGTGTGCAAAACCATTGCACAGAGCCAGTAAGTATGACATGTTTGTTATTTTTTAAAACATTATAGGTTTAATGTCACTTAAATTCCTAATGAAAACTAATCTTTAAAGTATGTCATGGGTAACTCAACAAAATAACGCTTCTGGTCTCATTATTGTTATGACATTTCCAATCAACATGAGTGCTAGGAGTGCAATAATGTGGCAGGGACAAAAATGCTGAATAAAGGAGATGTGCTTACCAAATCCAACTTTAACACAAAACAACCTCGGGCTTTTGCCATGGTAATGGGAAAAGCACAGAAGCACATTAAACTAAAGTAAGCCTTTTAACATGACACTTTCGTAACACGTTTATTTTATCACCATAAGCAGTGGCGGACTGACCATTTGGAAACTCGGTCAGTAGGGGGCCTCATGAGATGCCCCTGATACCTTTTTCATAGGCTTTTTTGAGTTTGGGCAAGGACACAGGGGCCCCATGATCCCCTATTGCCCGGGGGCCCCATGAGTTGTCAGTCCACCCCTGACTGTAAGCATGACGCACAGTACCTACCTTTACTGTTCTGCTGCTTTACAGCCTTGCACTACAGATGCTCTATAAAGGATTGACAGTGAACACTATACACTGTCTTATCAGCACCTCATTTGTAAGAGAAATTCACCTCTCTGCACATCTAAACCCTATAGAATACTCTATACCTACTAATTTCTAAACGTTGGTATTTTCCAATCTGGGGTTGGAGAAAGGCCATCCACAAAGGCAATCAGTACTCCACTATGGCACAAAGGTGCGTCTTTTCACCCTATGCCAGATGTTTGTACTCTGGCAGTACAAGTTAGTTTCTAACAATAGATTTACTGTATGGTTTAGTTGTTCAGGGTACCAGTTACCCAGCACTGTATTCATCTTCAGTTCTTCATTGTCAGTATAGGTTTATTTGAACTCCAGATAAAAATCTAAATATAATGTTGAAACACATATATGTTTGCGTTTCTCCCTGCTGAAGGATTTGTAATTCTGAATGACCAATTTTGTAAGTTGTTTTACAATTACTATGTTGAATGGCTGAGTAGGTGATAATCTTATTTCCTGAATCAACAATACAGCCTCCTATAGTCATCTATCTGGCTACAGACTGCTCATTGGACAAGAATTAATCATATTCACCTGTGCCAATTTGCAGTGTCCAGGAAGCAGAAATGTGAACCAGGGTTATACCCAACTAATATAACCACATTAAAAAAAGCTTAAACAGAAAGTAGTATAGTGCTCTTCCTGACTGTACGTGATATATATTTATATGCGGTAATGTGAAAAATTAAGTACACTCAATATATTTTAAAAGGCAAACATTATATCTTGATTCAAATACAGATAAAAGTGATATACTTGAACAAATGACACGTGCAATGGATATGGTATTTTCATTTTCATGATGTAAATTAACAAAAATGCAGATTTGTCATGTATAAAAAGTAAGTACACACCTACATTTACCACCAACTCAAATCCTTGGATTGAGAATCTCATGTTCCAGATTAGGTGTTGAAGAACCCTTCTTAGGGAGCATAGAGGTGAAGCCTGAATCTTATTCAGACCTCAGATTTCTAGGGTCTGGTGCTCTCTTTGCTATTGACTCATGTGAATTGTATTGTGCCAGGATCAATAGAGCTCTCTAAGGCCCTAATAAAGAAGATTGTGGATGCCTATGAGTCTGACAAGGGATTTAAAAAGATTGCCAAATGCTTTTAAATTAATCATTCAACTGTAAGAAAAAGAAAACAGGTATAGATTCCAAACAATTGCCAATTTGTCCAGGGCTGGCCAGCCCAGCCCAGCCCAGCAAATTCAACCTGAGTTCTGATCATTTAATGCTAAAAGAAGTCTCCAAGAACCACAACATTTTTATTGCAAGGTGTTCAGATAAATTTTTTTGACACAGGGTAAAAGTATATGCATGTAATTGCACCGGTTTACCTGCATGCTGTCCAAAAAAAGAACAAGAAATCAAGATTACTGTGTGCCATTGAACATATAGGCAAAACCAGGCCTTCTGGAATAATGTGCCGAAGACTGATCAATCAAAGCTGATTGTTCACAGTGTCAATAGCCATGTTTGCCGCAAACTGGAGATAGCATTTCAGGAAAAGAATGTTATAAAAACTGAGGCATTCTGGTGGACGTGTTATGGCTTGGGGCTGCTTTGATGTTTCAAGGCCTGGGTAGCTCACAGTCAACAATGGATTCTGCCTCAGATCAAGTGTGGTTGATGAGAATGTGAGGCCATCTGCCCAAAAGTTGAAGCTGAATGGAAATGTGACTTTGAACATGATAATGATTAGAGATGAGCGAATTATTAAAAAATTCGATTCGGCTGATTTGGCGAATTCGCGGAATAAATTCGATTCGAGTCGAATATATTCGCTGCGAATTTAACTTATAAAAAGGGTGTTTCTAGGCTTCAGAGAGCCTTTATTTTAGTGCAGAACACTGTACCTTTAATTTAAATGCCCTTGGAGTCTGCTGGGGAAGAGAAATAATACTGTCAGTCAGTATGACATGCAGATGAGTGCCGTCGATCTTAGAATCACCGCACACTTCACTCATTTGGGCAGTCACGGGCCAAAACCAGAGTGTGGAGCCACAGTGTGGCGGTGGGAGGCAGCAGCAATGGGAGGCCATACAGCACCCTATGACAAAAATGGAACCCACCAGCATGTGTGAGGAGACCTGAAAGTGGCACATGGCAGAGTGTGGCGATGGAGACAGCAGCAATGGGAGGCCGTACAGGGACCCATGACACACTCTGGACCTGGCAGCAGCATGAGGAGGCGGTACAGGGGCCCATGACAGATTACGGGCCTGGCAGCAGCATGAGGAGTCGGTACGGGGGCCCATGGCAGATTACGGGCCTGGCAGCAGCAATGGGAGGCCGTACAGGGACCCATGACACACTCTGGACCTGGCAGCAGCATGAGGAGGCGGTACAGGGGCCCATGACAGATTACGGGGGCTGGCAGCAGCATGAGGAGTCGGTACGGGGGCCCATGGCAGATTACGGGCCTGGCAGCAGCAATGGGAGGCCCGTAATCTGCAGCACCCTATGACAAAATGGAACCCACCAGCAGTGTGAGGAGACCTGAAAGTGGCACATGGCAGAGTGTGGCGATGGAGGACAGCAGCAATGGGAGGCCGTACAGGGACCCATGACACACTCTGGACCTGGCAGCAGCATGAGGAGGCGGTACAGGGCCCATGACAGATTACGGGCCTGGCAGCAGCATGAGGAGTCGGTACGGTGGCCCATGGCAGATTACGGGCCTGGCAGCAGCAATGGGAGGCCGTACAGGGACCCATGACACACTCTGGACCTGGCAGCAGCATGAGGAGGCGGTACAGGGGCCATGACAGATTACGGGCCTGGCAGCAGCATGAGGAGTCGGTACGGGGGCCCATGGCAGATTACGGGCCTGGCAGCAGCAATGGGAGGCCCGTAATCTGCCAGCACCCTATGACAAAATGGAACCCACCAGCAGTGTGAGGAGACCTGAAAGTGGCACATGGCAGAGTGTGGCAATGGAGACAGCAGCAATGGGAGGCCGTACAGGGACCCATGACACACTCTGGACCTGGCAGCAGCATGAGGAGGCGGTACAGGGGCCCATGACAGATTACGGGCCTGGCAGCAGCATGAGGAGTTGGTACGGGGGCCCATGGCAGATTACGGGCCTGGCAGCAGCAATGGGAGGCCCGTAATCTGCCAGCACCCTATGACAAAATGGAACCCACCAGCAGTGTGAGGAGACCTGAAAGTGGCACATGGCAGAGTGTGGCGATGGAGACAGTAGCAATGGGAGGCCGTACAGGGGCCCATGACAGATTACGGGCCTGGCAGCAGCATGAGGAGTCGGTACGGGGGCCCATGGCAGATTACGGGCCTGGCAGATGACGACGAGGCTGCCAAGTGCGATCAGCCTCATCATCATCAATTAGGGTCTCCGCCTCACTACTAGCCCCCTCGGCTGCGTGTGGGTCAGGAGACAGACCTGTCTCTAGACCGGCTACCGAGCCACTCTCCTCGCCAGTACTTCTTCGCCTGGCTGCTGAAGAGGCGGATGTCTCCCCCCGTTCCTGACCGCCCTCTGTTAGCTCTTCCTCACTGTACAGTGGGGCTGAGCCCACAGCATGCGATACTTCGCTTGGTGAGGGAACACCAAAGGACAGGGGCAGGTAGAGGACACGTGATTTCAGTGGGCTTGCTCCCGGGCCATGCCAACTAACGGTTTGTGTCTGACGTACCCACCGACCGTTGGCTGTAGGTGTCAGAGGTGACCTGGGAAGAGGAAGACGACCGAGCCAACCAATCGATGATGGCAGGGTTGTCGGTGGAGACACGACCGCTGGATGACACCGGGAGCACTGGCCTCTGGCTGCGACTAGTGCTGCCTCGACCCCTTCCTCTGCTGCCACGTCTGCTCGCTCCTGAAACATTGCCTCCTCTGCCACTCCTCTGCGTGTTGTCTGACATACTCTTTAATTCAACGATTCTGTGTCCCTGAGTAACGATTCTGTGTCCCTGAGTAACAATTCTGTGTCCCTGAGTAAAAATTCTGTGTCCCTGAGTAACAATTCTGTGTCCCTGAGTACAATTCGGTTTCCCTCAGTAACGATTCTGTGTCCCTCAGTAACAATTCTGTGTCCCTGAGTAACAATTCTGTGTCCCTCAGTAACAATTCTGTGTCCCTCAGTAACGATTTCTGTGTCCCTCAGTAACGATTCTGTGTCCCTGAGTAAAAATTCTGTGTCCCTGAGTAACAATTCTGTGTCCCTGAGTAACGATTCTGTGTCCCTGAGTAACGATTCTGTGTCCCTTGAGTAACGAATTCTGTGTCCCCGAGTAACGATTCTGTGTCCCTTAGTAACGATTCTGTGTCCCTCAGTAACGAATTCTGTGTCCCTGAGTAACAATTCTGTATGGGCATCTGCTATTCTGGGTGTATGGTATGTGTTAGCCGCTTCTGATCGATCGCCCTATAGCAGAAATGCTGCTACAGGGCGGCACGGGTGCACAAAAATATGTATGTATATATAATAAAATATATATATATATATATATATACCACTGTATATATATATATTATATATACACTGTATATATATATATATATATATATATATATATATATACAGTTGTGTTCAAAAATAATAGCAGTGTGTTGAAAAAAGTGAATAAAGCTCAAAATCCTTCTGATAGCTTTTATTTCCATACACACAAATGCATTGGGAACACTACACGTTCTATTCCAAAACAAAACATGAAGAAAAATATATCAAATTTGATATACGATTCTGTGTCCCTGAGTAACGATTCTGTGTCCCTGAGTAACGATTCTGTGTGCCCCTCAGTAACAATTCTGTGTCCCTGAGTAACAATTCTGTGTCCCTGAGTAACAATTCTGTGTCTGTCCCTGAGTAACAATTCTGTGTCCCTGAGTAACAATTCTGTGTCCCTGAGTAACGATTCTGTGTCCCTCAGTAACAATTCTGTGTCCCTGAGTAACAATTCTGTGTCCCTGAGTAACATTCTGTGTCTGTCCCTGAGTAACAATTCTGTGTCTGTCCCTGAGTAACAATTCTGTGTCCCTGAGTAACAATTCTGTGTCCCTCAGTAACGATTCTGTGTCCCTCAGTAACAATTCTGTATCTGTCCCTGAGTAACAATTCTGTGTCCCTGAGTAACAATTCTGTGTCCCTGAGTAACGATTCTGTGTCCCTCAGTAACAATTTCTGTGTCCCTGAGTAACAATTCTCTGTAACAATTCTGTGTCCCTCAGTAACGATTCTGTGTCCCTCAGTAACAATTCTGTGTCTGTCCCTGGAGTAACAATTCTGTGTCTGTCCCTGAGTAACAATTCTGTGTCCCTCAGTAACGATTCTGTGTCCCTCAGTAACAATTCTGTGTCCCTGAGTAACAATTCTGTGTCCCTGAGTAACAATTCTGTGTCCCTGAGTAACAATTCTGTGTCCCTCAGTAACAATTCTGTGTCCCTGAGTAACAATTCTGTGTCTGTCCCTGAGTAACAATTCTGTGTCCCTGAGTAACAATTCTGTGTCCCTGAGTAACAATTCTGTGTCCCTGAGTAACGATTCTGTGTCCCTGAGTAACATTCTGTGTCCCTGAGTAACAATTCTGTGTCCCTCAGTAACAATTCTGTGTCCCTGAGTAACAATTCTGTGTCTGTCCCTGAGTAACGATTGTGTCCCTGAGTAACAATTCTGTGTCCCTGAGTAACAATTCTGTGTCCCTGAGTAACGATTCTGTGTCCCTAAGTAACGATTCTGTGTCCCTAAGTAACGATTCTGTGGCCCTAAAGTCTCTGTGGCCCTAACTCTGTCCCTAATACACAGAGGTCTGTCTCTCTTGAATGACCGGAGGCTAATGGAGAATTCTAAGATGGCCGCGATTTATAGCTCCACCATTACACAGTGCTGGCTGGCTGGCTGCTGATTGGCTAATGCGATCACATGTCATGAATGAATGCATTATGGGTCAGCGCGCCTTGTCTGCGCGCCTTCCCAGAGATCCCCGCTCCGTCGCCACATGTCGCCTCCATTTTTGGGAAAATTCGATTCGTGCATCCGAAGTTTGCTAATTTTTGGATTCGGCGCAAATCGAATTTTTCCTAATCTTCGAAACGAATTCCACTTCGCCATGTTTGATTCGCTCATCTCTAATAATGATCAAAAGCACACTAACAAATCAATCATGGAATGGCTAAAAAAAAGAAGGGGTTTTCAAAGCTTACTCAAAGCCTTGATTTAATTCCTGTTAAATTTTGTAGCGGAATTTTGAAACCGACAATTCATGCAGAGAAACTCACATATACAGTATCTTGCAAATTGCATAATTTTGCATGCTGAAGTAGTCAACAATTCTAGTAAGTGTTGTCAGAGACTAGTGGACAGTTATACAAAATGCCTACAATAAGTTATTTTTGCTACAGGGGACAATACCAGCTGTAAAGGGTGTGCTTACCTTTTACACAGTATACAATTACCTCTATTAATATTTTTGTTGAATGGATGATTGAAAAGGCACATTTTCAATCATCAATGTTAAAATTAATTAAAAAAATGTTAAAATTAAAATAAATATATTTATATATATATATATATATATATATATACACACACGCATAGGAATTGCACCGATAACTATATCAGTGCAAATACTAAGCATTTTCACAAAAATCGGTACTTGTGCAAATGATGCCCTGATACCAAAAACCGATACCGGAAATGCTGTCAGCTGACAGCTCCAGGCTCTGTACAATGAAGGCTTGGCTGGTCTATAGGCGGCGATGTAGTGACGGCACTATTGCTGAGTGTCTGGAAAGGAAAGGAGCCCCAGGATTACACTGCACTGGCTCCTCCCCACCTCTCTCCAGAGCACCGTCCTGAGAATGATGGACGTAAAGTCATATCCGGCTGTGGAAATCATGGAGGAAGAGCCGGTTTACTTCTTTATCAGTGTTTTGGGTTGTGGTGTCCCCCTCCGCGGAGTCTGCACTCCTTCCTCCGCTTATTGGTTACTGGAGGAAGGAGAACAGAGGAGACAGTAAGTCTTCCCTGTCTGTTGACATCTCTCAGCCTGCTATGTGTCTGTATGAGCATTTTCTTACTAGGTGTCTGCGAACATCTGTTATCTGGGTTTAAGATGAGTATAGACATTTGCTATCTGGCTGTACAGTGTTGTATGGGCATCTGCTATCTGGGTGTATGGTATGTGTTAGCTGCTTCTGAACTGCCCTATAGCAGAAATGCTGCTACAGGGTGGCACGGGTGCACAAAAATATGTATATATATGTATATATATATATATATATATATATACACTGTATATATATATATATATATATATATATATATATATACAGTTGCGTTCAAAATAATAGCAGTGTGTTGAAAAAAGTGAATAAAGCTCAAAATCCTTCTGATAGCTTTTATTTCCATACACACAAATGCATTGGGAACACTACACATTCTATTCCAAATCAAAACATGAAGAAAAATATATCAAATTTGTGGTGTTCCTCTGAAAAATTGAAGAAAAGTGAATATTAGACTGTTCAAAAAAATAGCAATGTTTGTATTCTTCTTTACAAACTCAAACATTCACTATATAAACTGAAAAATGTTTGAAGATTTTTGCTTTCCTTTGAATCACTTAATGAATATTTAGTTGTATAAGCACTGTTTCTGAGAACTGCTGTACATCTGTGTTGCATGGAGTCAGCCAACTTCTGGCACCTGTGAACAGGTATTCCAGCCCAGGATGATTGGACTACATTCCACAGTTATTATTATTATACAGTATTTATATAGCGCCAAAAGGTTTGCTCAGCGCTGTACAATAGCAAGGGGGACAGAACATGAGACAAAACAGTAACAATACAATACACGAAGGGTTCGAGGGCCCTGCTCTTTCGAGCTTACAATCTAGGAGGTGCACAGTTCTTCTCTATTTCTTGGTTTTGCCTCAGAAACTGCATTTTTGATGCCACCCCACAAGTTTTCTATTGGATTGAGCTGGCCACTCCATAATGTCAATCTTGTTGGTCTGGAACCAAGATGTTGCACGTTTACTGGTGTGTTTGGGGTCGTTGTCTTGTTGGAACACCGATTTCAAGAGCATTTCCTCTTCAGCATAAGGCAGTATGACCTCTTCAAGTATTCTGATGTATTCAAACTGATCCATGATCCCTGGTATGCGATCAATAGGCCCAACACCGTAGTATGAGAAACATCCCCCATATCATGATGCTTGTGCAACCATGCTTCACTGTCTTCACAGTGTACTGTGGCTTGAATTCAGTGTTTGGGGGTCGTCTGACAAACTGTCTCCGGCCACTAGACCCAAAAAGAACAATCTTACTTTCATCAGTTCACAAAATGTTGTGCCATTTCTCTTTAGGCCAGTCAATGTGCTCTTTGGCAAATTGTAACCTCTTCAGCACATGTCTTTTTTTCGACAGTGGGGACTTTGTGGGGGCTTCTTGCAGATAGCTTGGCTTTACATAGGCGTCTTCTAATTGTAACAGTACTCACAGGTAACATTAGACCTGGAGCTGATTGTTGGCTGAGTCCTTGCCATTTTGGCTATTCTTCTATCCATTTGAATGGTAGTTTTTCTTCCACGTCTTTCAGGTTTTGGTTACCATTTTAAAGCATTTGCGATCATTTTAGCTGAGCAGCCTATCATTTTCTGCACTTCTTTATATGTTTTCCCCTCTCCAATCAACTTTTTAATCAAGGTACGCTGTTCTTCTGAACAATGTCTGGAAAGACCCATTTTCCTCAGAATTTCAGAGAGAAATGCACTGTAACCAGCATGTACAACATTTGCTGCCTTCCTTCCTTCCTTAAATAAGGGCAATAATTGCCACCTGTTTTTCAAAGAATGACTGACCTCACTAATAGAACTCCACAATGCTATTATTTTGAACATGCCCCTTTCAATTAGTGATTCAATTACACAGAATCAGCAGCATGCATGTCATGACTGTTGGGTCTGTTGGATTTCTATTACTCTACTACACCTGCTAGTAAATTATTTGCCATGTAGAAATGTCATTTCTACCAAAAACTGTGATTGATCAGGTTAGTGATGTCTGACTGCTATTATTTTGAACACAACTGTATATATGTGTGTGTGTGATTTTGCAGTTCCGGGTAGGGGGACCACCATTCACGGATTCAGCTGTCAATCACTGGGTCCTGCCGGTGATTACCCGCCAGCACCTGGCGATCTACAAAGATTTCTGACAGGGAGAGACCTGTATGTAAGCAATACAGATCTCTCCCCTGTCAGCTCCTGCACACTGCTTTGTATGGCTCTGCATAGCACTGCTTACAGTATAACACACACACAGTCCACATAGTAAAACAGCACAGAGTTAACCCTTTGATCGCCCACATGTTAACCCTTCCTGCCCAGTGCCATTAGTACAGTGTCAGTGCTTTTTATTAGCACTGATCACTGTATTGGTGACACAGGGGATGTCAGTGACACCAAGTGATTTCCCCCCAGTGTCAGAATGCCCACCACAGTCCCTCTATAAGTCGCTGATCACCGCCATTACTAGTAAAAAAAAAAAATAAACAATTCCAGTATATATACCATTTGCATAACTTTCACTTAAACCAATTAATTTACCAATTCATTTAAACTTTTTTTTAGCAAAGACATGTAGCAGAATATATTTTGGCCTAAATTTATGATGAAATTTGATTTTTTACATTTTTTTATTGGACATGTTTAATAGCAAAAAGTCAAAAATATAGTTTATTTTTAAAATTGTTGGTCGTTTTTTGTTAATAGCACAAAAATAAAAAAACACACAGGCAATCAAATACCACTGAAAGAAAGCTCTATTTGTGAGAAAAAAGGGACATAAATTTAATTTGGGTGCTGCATTGCATGACCACACAATTGTCAGTTAACACATCGCTGTATCG